AAACCCTAGAAGCCCATTCCCCGGCAATAATTCCTTGCGCCCGGCTTCGGAGTTGGTGACGAAGCTGGACCGAGGTCTTTCTGCGCGCTGTGCGCGTGGCTTGAGGAGGAGCCTCGCTCGAACCCGAAGCTTCAGATAGGGTTTAGGGTTTAGGGCTTAGGGTTTAGATCCAAAACCTCCGGCTTGGCTCCTTGAGCTTTGGGTTTCATGATGGTGTGCCTGTGCTTATGTGTATGTGTGCGGTCTGTAGTGTAGTTGTACGGCTCAGGCTCATCCCTTTGCAGGACCTTGGGCATCTTCTGCGCCTGCTGGGTGCCTTGGGGGCGTCGCCGTTGGTGCTGCTGCTCCCTCCGTCGCTGGGTTCAATGCAGGGCCCAGGGCCCGAAACGCCACACGAGCCCCAGTGAATCGTGGCGTTGCTCCCCGAAGTCAGGGCAGAGACGGCCGAAGCAACTCACATGCATTGCAGTCTCTTACCCTAAACCCTAAACCCTAAACCCTAAACCCTTGCAGTCTCGTTTTGCCCATGAGGCTCTTCCACATCGAAATGGCACGAAGACAGGCGGAACAGCAGGGAGCCTCCGGATGTCTTGGGTCAAGGCGATGAAGTTTGAAAGGAATCGGACCCTAGAGCACTTTAAGTTCTGTCTTCCATGACATAACCACCTCAGAAGCCACATGTCATGCAATTGATGCATGACCTGCTGCCTTGCGACGCTGCTGCCCCCGAAGTCGCCAGCCTGAAACTTGCGAGAGTTGCCCTGTGGGCAGTCTTCTAAATTAGGGTCCCTTTTGGGGTCCTTTTGATAAGGGTGCCGCGTTAGAGTGGGGACCTAAAAAGGGATCCTAATTTAGAGAACTACCCATGTGCAGTTCGGCCGCGATATCTTCAGCCTGGAGAATCTGAGCGCCATGTTCATCATGGTTCTCGGCTGGCTCCTCAGCAGCCGCTAGGGTTTAGGGTTCAGGGTTAGCAGCCGCTTCCGAACGTGAAACAGTAATTGTTGGAAGCAGTGTCGAACTGCCATGCGTGCCCCAAAGACGGGCTAATACTGTCCTTCAACTGTCTTAGTACAGCATGAGTCTGTTTACTGCCGCATGTTATGAGCCCCTTGAATGCAGGGCATTCATCGGGGCAGCTTGCCCCAGAAAGAAGGCGAACGAATAACGTGGCCTACGTGTGACATTGTACAAGAAATATGCTCCCTCTGCCCACTGTCCATATTCTTGACAGTCTAAATTCAGAGTTGCTCGCCGTTTCCTGGGAAAAGCGTGGCTTGCCGGAATCTGTATTTTCCTTGTAGGAAGAAGCACAAATGTTGAAATAGATACGAGCCCACCTTGGCCAGCTTGTGGACTGTTGGTTTGTGTTCGACGTGTGAGAGCTATTTCGGATTTGTTCAGATTGGTGACGGAAATATTCAACTCGCATTGTTGTGGCCTGGGTTGCTGTGGTTTACCAGTGTTTGATGCCTTGTTCAGCTGATTCCCAAGGAGTGCCAAAAAGATCATGTCACAAGCCTACCCTGGAAGCAATGACCATTCTTATGTCTGTGCTGATTGGACATCGGCTCCCACCTGACTTGAGGAATCTCTCTTCTTAGATTCTTGTCAGGGTTGAGCTGCCATCTGGCTTCTCCCATAGGGAGGACATACTCGTGTGTGCTTCTCTTCTGCTTAGCACTACGTAGCGTAGCATCCCTTATTCGAGTACCCCTTGGTACTAGGGAGTAGAATGGAGTCTTCTACTCAGTAACATAGTACCCCTGATCCATGTACCCCCCGTACCACTATGGAGTTGAGAAAGAATTTCAATGAGGTGTGGTGATTACCGGGGGCAGCCTACTGAAGATCATCACTTCCTCAATGAGGCGGGCCTTCGTGGATTGAGGGCTTTGCGTTCAGGGGGTTCCGGGGTCGAGGACTGAGGCGTTGCATGTTCAAGAGCGGCAGGGCTGAATTAGGGCCTCTTTAGGGTGGTCTTGGTTTTAGGGTTTAGGGGTTTAGGGTTTAGCAATGAGATTCTGTCCGAAAGGTTCTGTGCTTCGAAGTCTTGCATGGATCTGGGCGGATTCTACACGCGAGCCATGCGCGGGATTTCTCGGGCTAGGGTGTAAGACTGTCAGTGCTCCATGTAAGGGCCCAATCACTTCTCCGTTCATCGGCCGCATGCCCCGTTTCTCCAGCATCAACCTTTCCAAGTACCACCGTACATAAGCTCAGACCCAAGCCGTCTAAGAGTCGAAGCTCTAAAGCCTCATCGCTGAAACCTCAAATTTCAAGCCCCCTGTGATAAGCTGAGGCATCAATCATCTTTCAACCCGGGAAGTTAGACCCTACTTGGAGGCCCCTTTGACTTAGTAAGTCTACTTAGTATCCCCTAGAAACCCTCTTATAATCCCCATAACCCACCTTACTAACCCTACTTACTAAGTCAAAAGGGCCTCCAAGTATAGAGTTCAAACCCGAATCCTGTTGACAGCCCGCCGGCTGGACACCGTGGCGAGAGAGCCGTCGTGTCCTCCTTGGCGACGCTTGGCGCTGTTAGGTTGGGCCTTCAGAGCATCGTGACTGGTGGTTTATGGTTTAGGCTTTAGGGGGTTGAATGTGTATAGACATACACCTACAAGCATACATGTACTGACGAGCAGAGAATGTAAGTCAGGAGTGGCACAACACATGTTGTGGCATGTTCTGACATACATGCTATAGCACGTGCTCCCAGAGTACTTGCACCTATATGACATGCCTGTTCATTCATGGGCTAATTTGCGCCACACAGACTACAGTGTGTTATCGTTCTGGCAATGAAGTCTGTCGCACATCTTTGAGAATGTGTATCCTAGACTGTCCGAAAAGCATCTCAGACCAATTGCATCTACTGCTGCAGCGTAGTACTGAATAGAATTGCGATCTCTCACTGAGTGTGAACCATCCAATAACTCTGAAGGCGGGTAGCAAGTATCGTGGTACTTGACTACACGGGCACTCTTCATGCTTTTTTTGAAACCACTATGACATCTGAACTTCAAGCACATCTGTCGATTTGTCCATCTATCCGTCGGTCTACCATCTTTGCATACAAAAATGCTCCTAAACCCCAAACCCCTAAACCCTAAACCCTATACATCTAGGTTCCCCAGTAGTACCCTTTTGCCCGTTTTCTTTTTGGGTTCCGTTAATAAAACCAAATAGTAGGAAAAAAAGGCACCCTTATTATTAAGGGGCTACTGGGGAACCTAGACATCATTCGGTAGTTCGGTGTGAAGAGTGGGGCTGCTATTTGGCTTTGGGCTGGATGCCTGACGTCTCAGTGGTTGGAGCCCTAAGGCCTTGCGGCTTCAGAGTTTGAAGTGTAGGAATCCGGGTCTAGGGCTTGGGCTTTAAGATAAGCGGTGAAGGGTTTAGGTTTTAGGATTTAGGATTTAGGGTTTAGGTTTTAGGATTTAGGGTTTAGGGTTTAGGGTTAAGGCTTTAATAGGGTGTTCAGCGCTGTCTTTTTGGGTTCTCAGGGCGGGCTAGGCTCTAATCCCTACAGCTTGGGGAATGAATTCGGACTAGACGGGATTTTCTTCAGGCCCCACCGATTGATGGGACCTGTTACATCCCTCTTCCTAGCTACTTATCTTTACATTTAAAAAAAATACAGCCCCATGAATGTCAGTCCAGCTTGTGGTGCTCTATTGTGTATACAGGCTGACAGGGCAACAGGGTGACCGTGCCGGCACCAGCTGAGGAACATCACAACTCATCGCTGGCAGCGCTGAGTGCAGTCAGATGTACAGGTAGACCTGGTGAACCTAAACCTAAACCCTAAACCCTAAACCCTAAACCCTAAACCCTAAACCCTAAACCCTGACCCACAGTAGGAATGGGCGATAAACCCTAAACCCTAAACCCTGACCCACAGTAGGAATGGGCGACCTGGATGCTCCGAAGTACGGCCGAGTACCGTTCCAGGACCTGCCCAGACCGACGTAGAGCAAGTAGGTAGTTGTCTAAATTAGGGTCCCTTTTGGGGTCCCCAATATAGTACAGCACCCTTATGAAAAAGGACCCCAAAAGGGACCCTAATTTAGAAAACTACCCAAGTAGGTGTGCGGTGCGATGCCCAAAGTGGCACGAGGATCTCGCTTAAAAGCAGTTGAAGTACTACAGGGCCTTAATGCTTACCTATACTATTTTTTTTTTGGGGTGGTTCCTTATTATGATTATATAGCATAAGATACCCCCCCAATACCCTCTTAAAAAATAGTAAGGCCCCTACATTCCCTAAGGGTCCATGCACTCATATAGTATAAACATTGGCC